GTCACATCCACATAACAAGACGGTACTGATCCTCGATACGGAGCACCGTTTCGACGCAACTCGCATCCTTGGTGACCCAGATGACCTGCGCCACGCCTACGTGCATCGCCCAGCTCGCCGGAGCACCACTGTTGATAGCCGCAGCGGCGGAAGCGGGGGCGGAGGCGGTAGTAGCATCGGCGCGGAGCAAATCCGGGAGCTCGTCGCCGCTGCGGAGAATTGGATGCTCTACGGCGGACACCACAGCGGCGCCCGGGAATGGTGGGGAACCATAGTCATCGGCGCACTCGGGGCCGGCGACGTGACTGCCGCCTGGAAAGGATGGCTGCGCGTTGACCGCGAGTACGTCCCGGGATTCTCCCTCGGCTGCAGCGCGACGGAGGCTGTGAAGGACCGCCAGCAACGCCAGGAAGCCGTCGAAGCTGCGTCGTGGGCTGCCTCTTCGCAGTGGGGCAGTTTCACATTCACAGAATCTCACTCTCGCACTACGACGCCCGATGCCAGGGATCCGAGGCAGTCGAAGCGTGTCACTGGTACCGACCGATAAGAGATGCGGAGGTTGCAGAGGGACTTCCTGGAGGAACTCCTGGAGGAGCGAGGAGACGGAGACGAGCCAGCACCATGTGGAGGCGGGGATGGGGAGGAGTGTGCACATAGCAAACAAGCAGACTCACACTCCTCTCTGCGACCACCTTTTCGTACATGTACTTCTGCCATTCTTTTCTCCTCCCGAGTTCCATACTCGTGCGCCAATTCCTCCACTTCTTCCCCTCCCCTCCTCCACCAGTGATCAACAACCCGCGAATCCATTTCTGCCCGTGAGGAAACCCACGCGCGCGGTGGGTTGCCTTCTCCACAGAAGCAGGCGAGATGCGAGGGGGGAAACTGGCGACGAGTTACTCTTTGGAGACAATCTTCGTCTGGGCAACATCTGAGATGCTTTGCCAAGCAAAGACGTGTTCGGCCACTCGGCTTCTCACGGGTACCAATTCTCCAATGAACAGTAGCGCCAACGGCGGGATCAGGAAATAAACAGAGGGATGCAGCTTATATTCGACCCCGGCCGGGTCCTTAGCAGACCTGTGCGGGAGGCGGCGCGGCGCCAGGTCCGTGAATGACGGTGTTCTGCAGGCTCGGGGTCGGCTCGTGGGGAGGGGGGTTGCCAACAGCATGCTTTCATGAAGCTTGCTTCCCTTGCAGTAGTATTTCCGTTGCCCGGTTCGATGTGCATGTTCATGTCGAGGCGGTTGTGGCGGAAGAATTACTCGCAAATGCTAGAAATGGTGGACTATGATGAACTATCGCTAGCCGACGTGTGAGCTATCATTCACCGCTATAATTCTCTCAGTACATCACAAGACGGTTAATCGGAAATGATAAGAGTAATCCAAAAACATTTGGCGGCTAATGCGCCTGTAGATTTGACCGATGCGAATCTGCTGACAAGCTATTTATGACTCTAGCATCTATCTGTAGTCGTGATGTTCATTGCTGACGCCTTTGGTATCACACTTTTACTCCGTCCAAGTAAATAATCAGATTCAGAAAATGAGGGAGCTCTGAAGAGAGCTTTGGCAAAAAATAAAAAAACCGCTAATATCCCGGACATCCCTTTTTATCGCGCAAAGTTGTAAATGCTGAAAAGTCGCCGTTTCTTTAACCCAGAATTGGTTGCGAACGCTCCTCAAGGGGAGTGTAACACGCGCTACCTTTCTCCTGCATGGCGCGAAGGCAGTCTTCTTCGCCGAGGATGTCCTTGCGCAACGAGGTGACGACCCGCTTGCGGATCTCGCGCTGAATACCGTAGCGCACGGCATCCAGGACGGTGTTAACGGTAGCCTTGGGCTTGTAAGCCGGCTCCGTACCATCTTGGTAGACACCGGTCTTGACCAGGATGCTGTGCCACTCGTTGTCCGCGTGCTCGTCGTAAAGGTTTGTGCCGCGAATATCGGACTCGGGAGTATCGCCGACAAAGTAGACAGTGTCGGGAGGGGCGTCGAGGCCGTGCTGCTGGCGTCTCCATTGTTGCAAGAGCCTCGTCGCAAACTCGAACGTGCTGACCTGGGGCTTGCCGAAGGCGTGTGTGTGGAGCTTGCCCTTCTTCTTGGTAACGTCCTTGAAGGCGACCTCGAGCATGCGGCGCAGGGCACCCATGCCCAAGCGCACGTTGTCGTGGGCCGCGGACCAGACGACGTCGTTGTGGGAGAAGTAAATTGGTGGGCCCTCATCAAAGGTCTCGCTCAGAGTACCGATCTTGCCGCCCTTGGACATTGCGATATCGAGCATGATCTGGATGTCACCGGCCCAATCGCGAGAATCCGCGAAGACGAAGACGGCCTCGATGGTAACGTCAGTGAAGTCACGCTCGCGAGAGTTCTTGAGCTCGTCGGGCGTAAGCTTGCGGAATGGTGTTGTGGCCGAGTTGTGCTTGATGATATCGCCGGGCGTGATGACATCCTTGAAGCCGTAGCCTTCAGCAACTTGACGGCACTTCTCGCCTTCTCCACCGACAACCAAGACAGTCTTGAATCGGTCGGCCATTTCCCTCATGGGAGTGTGGCCACAAATGAATTGTGCGGGAGAGATTTCGATCTCCATTTGTTTTGACAAGTCGCCACATCTTTCTTCTTCGGTCTTGCCGCCTCCGTTCGTGAGGAAGATATAAGGACTAAAGACTTCCATGTCAGTTTCGGATGTAGGTCAAGCAATGAGTTGGAAGCAACTTACATCTGAATGCCGTATTCATTCTCGCCGTTGAGTACCTTCATAGCCTCAACGGCCTCGGGAATGGCACGGCCACCACGGATAAGGACACCATCAATGTCAAAGGCGAAAGCGAAGCTATCGGCCACGGGAGCATCGACTCTTATCGAAGGGGTGACGGGTGAAAGAGCGCTAGCAGGGCTTCCGACAGGAGAGTCGCCAGGGGATGATGCTTCTGAGCCGTCGAGCGAGGAATCAGGAGTGCTCAGTGCCATATTGTCCAGTTGCTTCCGGGCAGCTTGAATGCTCTCGATGAAGCTGCCGGTGGACGAAGCTCGGTGATTGGGAGCCATGGTGGGTGGTGTAGAGAGTGAAGCTCTTCAAAACTGGTTAATTGAATGTGGGTAAGAGCTGTAAGCCTGTAAATGTCCAGGCTAGAGGGGCTGACTTGGGGAGTGAAAATTGAAGCTATATCTGTCAAAGACGGAGCTTTCGACGAAGATGATAAGTTGAGATTGGGATGAAATGATAAGACAAACAGGTGTAGATAATTCAAAAGGAAATCACGGGGGGGCTGCCAGATTATATACTCCCGGTATGAGAACATCTTGACTTGATGCTGACGTCTCTGATCTCACTCTCTCTTACTCTCTCTTACTCTCTCCCTGCCCCTCGCTTTCAGAAATGCGCGCTTTCGAGGCGCCCCTGCGCTACCCTCTTCCAACATGTGGAAGTCTCCGCTAAAACCAGGCAAACGCGGGTCCTTGCTCAGTGACACCCTTGGGATGAGTTTCTTGAGTCGTGCATGGTCGTGGATACCGTGGAGGCGAAGTAGCATGAGAAGTTTTTTTGGATCCAAGACCAGGAGAGGAGCCTTGCTCCACTCTGTACACACAAGGACCTTACCTGGTGGTGAAATTTTATGATTACGACACAGAAGAGGATAAAGACACTGCCCTTTGTTGCGAGCAGCACTGCTGCAGTAGACGTACTTCCGTACAGAAGAGTACCGCCAAAGGGAAACGGACCGGGATGCGGCTACTTGCCAAGAGGGAGAAAACTCGTGTGGCACCAAAGGTTCCTCCATCTCACCGCCAGGGCAGACTTCTAGTCAGTCCAAGTAACATTTGTTCCTGGCTCCTACGGGTTTTACCAACACAGATAGATCCAAAGTACAAAGTACAGACGTAGTGCAAGTCACAAAACGGGCGAGTAACCCAGCGAGCCACCAACAAGAGAAGGGCAAAAAGCATGTTTAGGAGGCTCCATAGGCAGAAGAGGGATCCATCTTGCCAACCGTCATGGTGGAGACTTGGCTTTTCGGGTTCCTCGTTGCGGCTGCAAAAGATTCCGCCGTGTGTCGCGCAAGGCATATGGCTAGGGGCCTCGAAATGCCCCGAGCAATGATGATGATCTGGGTACCGATGCGGCAGCGATCGACCCTTACCCGAGGCGGCCTTGGCGCGACGACGAAGCACATGCGAGCCGCCGTCACGGCCAGCCGTTGGACCCTGAGGCAAAATGCAAAGGCTTATTACAGCATGCACAAAGGCTATTTGGTGTGTTCAATTTCTCTCACTTTTTCGTTCGGGCATGTACCGGTATCTATCTCTTAAGCCCAAACATGGAAGGATAAGCCAGGGGAAATCCAGGGCAACTTGGCCTTGTCACAAGGAATCTTGGTAGGTAATTCGGACCAGGACCAAGGACGTCAAAAGGGGGAAAAGGTAAATACCATGCGGCGTTTCGTATGTCGAGTATCCGTACCTTTATCTGTATAATGGCACGAAAAGGTACTCCGTAAGGTAGTCCGTGAAGCAGACCATGCCTAAGTCAGTCGGTCTCGTCGGCTTCTTGTCTTCAGCATCAGATAAAGCAGCACCGGCGCAATCTCTGCCCCTCCTTCACCCGCCTCCTTGAAGACCCCTCCATGACTCCCATTGGGCGTGTGCCTACTCCTTATCGACGACTCCTTACGATACGGCAGGCTGACACAGGGATGGTGCCCGCAGGAAGTCGTGATAGCGCCGGTGGTGGTCCACAAATGCGAGAATGCACTTGCACCATGAGGTGAGAGATGTATCAAGGAATTTTGCCCTTGTGGTGGCCCAGCGGGTTCCATAAAAGCGGGTTACGGAGACCCCGTAGTGACGTCACCGCCAGTGGGCCCCGGTGTCGCGACAGCAAGGATTGCGATGAGAACGCCCGTGGCTCGGATGGCTACATTTCATTGGTCGCCGTCGTAGGCGAGAGGCTCCGCTAGACGGCCCGAAGTGGCAGTCGTCTCTTCCGGCGGCTTAGGTAATAGTAGAGAGCCTTTCTAGTGCCCCCCTATGGCAAAGAACCGGGCATCCAGCGGCATCGGGTCCGGAAACCCCTCGGTCCCTTGGCCGTTCGACGCCGGCCCTGCATGATTGCGCTTGTCTCACCATCATTAACGAATTGGGACATTGAAAGAAAACAGAGGCAAAGTAATTGCGGAGAGGCGAAGAAGAAGGGGGAAGAGATATTCTTCTGTTGCTGACTTTTTTTTTCAGCTCCAAAGAGGCCACTTCGCCGCTCATCACTTGTGTCATCGCCCCGAAAGAGCGCTCAGATACTATTCTAGGTTGGTTCATGACTCGGCGAATGACGTCCATCTTTCCCTTCTTCATCTCAAAGTAGGAACACACTATGTACGCAGAATCCAGACTGAATACGACAGTATTCAGGGTAGTTGCGTGAACAGGGCCACAAAATATCACCAAGTCCAGAACATTGATACCCAAAGAAACCACGCATCTCCAGACCATCCACTTATGCTGTACCCGCTCACAACATGTGTATTTTGTGGCCTGTTCCTCTAAACAAGTCCGGGGGTTTCATTATTCTGTGACCGACGGTCGATCTCGACGTTTCTCGAGCGGAGAATTGGGTATAGCATGGACACGGGCAGTGTATCTAGTGAACAGACGTGAATCTTGGTGTATTCGTAGCATGAAGAGGTTTCGAGATAATGATGTAGCACAAGCGCAGTTGCTCAACAGCTCGATACCCGTCCTGCCGTATCACACGCTTCACCGAACACTCCCGAGATTTGCGGTTGTACCGGTAAACGCCCATTTCCCGTCGCGGGCCTTTGCTTCCTTTGCGGCCGGCCTCTCGTCACCGTTTTTTTTTCTTCTTTTCCTCTTTGCTGCACAACTACGCCATTATCTAGCATTGCCGAGCCGGAGGAGAACGCCCACCCACGGCCTACCAAGCGTAAACCAGGCTTCAGCCCGGCGCTATTACTGTCGCGTCCCGCTGCCGCCATACACGCTACTCGTCAGTCGCATTGTGATGCCGTCACCGTTGACCAGACTCCATGCAGACACCCCTGCCCCTGTCCGTATCCATACTGTATGTATGTAGGGATGGAGTCCGTCACTCGTTCAGCCAGTCGAGTGCACCTATCAAGGCCGTCTTATTCGTCCGTTGCCCTCGCTTGGACAGTTGGAAAACCACCGAAGACGGTGAAATTGGAAACCGGAACCACATTTCGCTCAAACAAAAAGCAGACAAACGACAAGTATGAGGGATGGGCAGAAGGGGGGCATTGGCTTGCATACGGAGGCCTGATCCTTGTCCAGTAATAAGAGGATAAGAGCGTTTGATGGAAGGGGAAAGGAAATCAATGGATTAGCGTGACTGGCCGACATGAGCACGCAAGTGGATTCAAGGAATAACGCTCACTTGCTAATAATCAATCATACATTCCTCAATCCTTGGACTTTTGTTTCATCCTGCGGTGCTTGAATGCGCCGGTTGGAAAGGTAGGCGGTCTTTGCAACTGTGTCTTTTTCTTTTCCCATCCGTGCCCTCATAAATCCCTCATCCCGTCGTACTTTTGAGTCCTCCATGGGCCGGCATTCTATCTGCTACTCGGCCAATAGGCGGGATACCCCGATACCAAAGCACTTTAAACCAAACAAAGCAAACTCGAGCTTGATAGGCTGAGAGCGCTTTATTGAAGATTAACAAAGAGGCCGCCGTCGACCAGCAACTGCGCGCCAGTCACATAACCACTCAGGTATTCGCAGGCTAGGAAGACGGCGGGCCCGGCGAGGTCGGACGGCACGCCGGTGCGGCCCAGTGGAATGCGGCCCTCCGTGTAGGCCCGCTTGGCATCGTCGGCCAGGTCCTCCTCGTTGAGCTGTGTCTTGATCGTACCGGGGAGCAGAGCATTGCAGCGAATATTGTACTTTCCCAGGGCAACGGCAGTGCTCTGCATGAGGCTGAGTACACCAGCCTTGGTTGGGGTGTAATGGGTCTGCTGGCCGCCACCGACGAGGGCGGAGATGGACGAGATGCCAATGATGCTACCACCGGCGGGCGATTGCTGGCTCATCTGGCGAGCGGCTGCCTGTACGACATAGAAGGCGCCGTCGAGGTTGGTACGGACTGTCTTGGTGAACAGGTCCGGAGTCAGCTCGAGAAACTCGGCAAATGTGCAGATGCCAGCATTGGAGACGCAGATGTCTAGACGGGCGTTGCCGGAATGCTCGACGGCACGCGCTACCAACTTTGCTGCCGTCTCGGGCTCGCGAACATCACCAATTATATCGGCCAGACGACCCGCGTTGGGGTTCTCTTGCTTTGCAGCAGCGGCGTCGGCAACGAGAGCATCAAGGTGGGGCTGGTCCTTTTCAAGACCCAAATGGTTTACGACAACGTTGGCACCCTGCTTTATGTATTCCAACGCAATAGCCTTTCCAATGCCAGTGGTGCCGCCCGTGATGATGGCAGTCTTGCCGGCAAGCAGGTTCGTCGGGGCCATGGTGCACAATGTGAAAATATAGCAAGCTTTCTTGAAAAGGAAGGCTGTCGTCGATATATAGGATGTCGAAATGAGGTCGTATGCGGGGTTGCCCTGGACGGCACGGCGTCGAATCAGATCCTGGTAATTGGATCAGCCAAAGAAAGGACCAAACGGTGAACGATTGGCGATAGATGGCAGACGATTGGCGAGTGATCGTGTTCGTCGGTAAATCCGTGGTAGGCTTCGCTCGTGCTCGTGCGCGAGGACGGGTGGTCGACAAGTCTATATTTGTAGTTGACGATACATGCCTGGAAGAATTCTGGTTGGTGCGGAGGAGGCGGAACAGAGCTGTGAGGACGGAAGGGGGGGTTATTATGCAGCGAGGGCGGCTCAAGTGAGACCCGATGACCGAGCCACGACTGCCGCCCGCTCCAGGAGGTGCCTTCCGAGTCCCACGATACCTACTTGGGGGGAGAGAGTTGGGGGATCTTAGGTAAGGAAGGCTGCTTGTACGTATTCATTTGTGACCCCGGGGCAGCTGCCGATGACACACCCCTTCCGTGACCTGCGTGAGACCGTGGCACGCGTGGGTACCCTTTTTATTCGGAATTCCCCATGACTTGCGGGCATCCCACTTTCCACCCCGCACTCTCGGTCACAATTATAGCGAGCCTCACCCCTCCAACCACCATGTTGACCATATTGCGTATCCATCCCACCTGAGATGCTTCATGCTCTTCCCAGGGACGGTGTTTCCTCTGTGGTGTTTGTGATCCCGTCACTCCGCCCTCACTGCCTCCCAACTGGTTCCTTTCTCTTAATGATACACATCGAGGATGGGAATCGTAGGCCAAGCTAAACATGGAACCCCCACTCTCCGCGTATGTGTCGCGCACGGCTCCGCGAATCTCAACTTCATCGCCACAGATCAAGTCGAAGCCTTTGGTTCTGACACATTTTACGAGTAATCCCGAGGGTTTCTCTGCCGCCGTAAGGCAATTAATGATCATACTATTGCATCCTTAGCCTTGGTTACAGAGAAAACAAATCCAGTTCGTGATGGTCAACATTCCATGTAGCTGCTGTAAACGTTGTCATAAATCTATTTTACGTGGTAGCTAAGCATACCAGCTGATTCGCCATGTACATTGCGCCAATAAGTCATGTCCAACACCGCTACATAGTTGAACCCAACCGCCCCGGTCTAAGTATTCCCAATAGCCGTGCAAGTGGCATGCTATTTTACTTCGACGATGTCACGGGCCTTTAAATCTGGCCGCAACATCATACATGAAGTTGCTATTTATTTCGCCTCCGTTTCCTCCACCGACTTGAGGGGCCTCTCCTACGCAGTTGTTAGCACATCTGATAACACAATGATTTGCGACTTCCTGTCCACTTACGGGGCTGGCATTCAACAGGGCCTTGCCCGAGATCAGTTTTGACCTGACGGCGGGGTTGAGCGTCAGACCGAAGCCGGGCTTGTCAAGATCAGCCGTCGTCAGGAAGCCCTTTGTCGGGATGGGCTCGTCGAGGAACAGGTCGCCGAAGACGGGCAGAACGCTCTTGCCGTCGGGCGAGTTGGCGAGGTACTCCTGGAAGGGCGTGTTCGGCTGCGAAATGACAAAGTGGTAGCTGTAAGGGCCACTGGCGTGAGGCACAACAGGGATGTCGTATGCTGAGGCCATGGCAGAGACCTTGAGCAGTTCCGTGAGGCCACCGAGCCACATGACATCGGGCTGGATAATATCCAGGTTGCGTCCCTCAATGAGCTTGCGGAATCCGAATCGAGAGTACTCGTGCTCGCCAGTGGTGAACTTGATGGTGGGGTGCGCGCGCTTGATTTGCTCAAAGCCGTCCGTGTCATCGGGCGACAGACACTCCTCCCACCAGTTGATGTTGAGGTCCTCGCAGGCCTTGACAATTTCGATTGTGTAAGACACATTGAGACTCATGTAGCAGTCCACCATAATGGGGAAATCGGGCCCAACGCTTTCGCGGTGCTTGCGAAGGAACTCGACGTTCTTCTTCAGGCCGGCGTGGCCATCCTCTGGGCAGTACGGAAGAGGGACCTTGCCGCCCCAGAAGCCCATCGTCTTGGCTGCCGACGGTTCGGGGCCAGTGCAGTAGAAGTCCAGGCGCTCCTTGGTGGCGCCACCAATGAGCCTGTATACAGGCTCATTTCTCACCTTGCCAAGCAAATCCCAGATGGCGAGATCGATGACGGAGATGACGGCAAGAGGAAGACCCTTTCGGCCATAGAACATGGAGCCTCTGTACATCTGCTCAAACAGCAGGTTTGTGTTTCGGGGATCAGCGCCGATGAGGAAACGCTCAAAGTGCTGGTGGACGAGCCAACACGCCGGAGGACCTGCGCGGGATTTGGTCAGCAAAGTCTTCCTCAGCCATGTGCTCTCGTATTATGGACAAGACTACGCACCTCCAAAGCCAGTAGCAATGCCGACAGTGCCGTCTGTCGCTTCGATCTCGATGAGGAATGAGCCCAGGACGTTGATGCCCCAGCTAGTTCTTGAGTTACGGTACTGCTCCCATCGCGAACAGGGAGTGGAAATGGGGCTGTCAATCAGCCTGTTTATTGCATTGTTAACTCATGTCGTTCTATGTGTGACGAGGCTCATTCAGAGCAGCGCTACAAACGTACCAGTGGCCACCCTTGACATTGTGGTAATCACCGCCGGAACCAACGCCGCCAATGACGAACGTCCGAATCTCCTTGATGGAGGGGAAAGATCTCACGGACGCCATTTTGTTGCCTCCAGAATCCGCGTCTGCCAGTGTAGTGAGCAAGGAAGGGGAGGAAAGAGGGGGCTTTTGAGAATGCGCAGGTGAGACACGGTATGATGATGGAGAGAGCAAGTGAGGGGGAACGGAGGGGGATTGGGTTTATGGGCGTCTTTTAAGAGGGACGGAAGACCACTTGTCGCCGGGATTCCAAGACATGTGAGCGCAGTGAACAAGACAGGAGCAGAGGAGCCATGGCGACCGAATCGG